TCTTTTTTTTTCGCGCATTCCAAACTCAACTAAATTCCCATGTCAACTGTGACATATATTTCAAATTCTAAAATCTATTCAAGAAACTTATATAATTAATTAGACGAATCTTTTTAGAAGAACTGAACAAGTTTTTGAATAATATTAATTCTCGAATTTTCTTTGAAACACATTCAAAGTGACAAGAGAATGATTTATGAATAAACAGAACTTTTGCCTGTCAAGAACTTATTTTAACAACAGAGAACAATAAATCTATCGATATGCAACAAACACAATTACAATTGTTTATAATGAAAGAAAAGAAAAATACTGAGTGAAAGCCTCTCTAATATCAACAGCATCCGTTGTTACTATATTATAAGCAGGTTTTTCAGAACAGTCTCCATGAAAGACATATAAATTATGTAAAATAACTGTTGTTTTAGTGATATTGGTTATATTGTTAAGGTCGAATCGCATTTTTTTCTGTAAACATCAAAATCTGTTTTTTAGCAAACCAAAAGCTCGTTCAACACAAGATCTGGATCTACTAAACCAAAATTGAAAAAATCATTATGTCTTGGCATATGTGAACGTTCTGGAAAATGGTTCGTTAAATTTCGATGTGAAAGAAAAGCTGAATCAGCGATGATATACGAGGGTGTGTGGGTGTTATATTAATCGACTGGTATTTACAGTCACATTCACACCCACACCCTAGACACTATTTGGGGTTGGTACTTTTTTTGGTTTCCTCATATCTTTCGTCTTTTGAATAAAAAAGCCAAAATATCAAACGTACCCTAAAAATCACATCTTTGTCTGATTAGAGCTTTTTTTGTAAGAGTTACGAAAAATCAACAGAGCAATATTTTTTTTGGAATAAAGAAAAGTATCCACCTCAAATGGTGTCTAGTATATGTGAAAAAAGTTTCAGCTCGATAGCTCTTACCATGCCGGAGAAACGGAGGCGAAATTGTACTTTTTTTGCAGAAAACTTAGTTTTGAGAAAAACTCAAAATAATGAAAAAAGTTTGCTGTTTTTACGTAGAAAACGTAAATTTTTTTTGATTTTTTTAAATTTTAAAGCTGTATTCGACTTCTCAAAATGTGTCCAACGGATAGAGGACACTTCAAAGTATGTGTATCAATGAAAAACAAAAAATCGAAAAAATTTTGATTTTCACCTTCGGAAAGGGGTACCCTTAAATTTGTTTTTGATCAAACATAATATAGTGATTTGTATGAAAACATGTTGTGGTCAGACAGACTCTGGACCTGCAGTCTAGAGAATATTGCAACCGTCGGTTGGGTTTGCTCTCAGAATTCTGCTGTCTCAAATTCAATTTTCTTTTCAAGTCCGTTTTACACCTCGCTGCTAAGAACGATACCTAATTAACAAGTGAGCCACTGCATGTACGAGTGAGATATGAAATCTGGAGGAATTTTTTGTGACAATTTTTTTGAAAGAGTAAACGTCTAGCACAAATTAAAAACGATCAAGTTTGAAAGACATATTTGATAACAAGCATCAAATATCTTTATATGCAAAAGTCACTCATAAAAAAGAATTAATTGTCTACATTAATCATTCATTACTCCTGCTGTTGTTGTCCATTAAATTGTTTGACTAAGTTGAGCAAGCATATCCAAATCGAGATTGCACACGAGTAAAATCTGGAAACGAAATTTAACGAATGATGGGGTGTGAGTGTGAGTGTGGGTGTTGGTCGGTGTAAAGACAAGTAAACCCACACGCACACCCTCATTTTTTCATGAGTTTTTGGATTTCTCATGTCTAGAAACCATGTAGTTGCCACTAAGCTAATCTCTTCGATAAGTATAGTAGAGTTGAAACTCCTGTATCAATTATTTAAAATGCAGGTGATGTAATTACAATAGAAATTTATTAAAATCGATTAAATTTGGACAATACAATTTAGTCCAATTAATATCCCAATAAATAAGGTTAGGATTAATTATCTTCGATTCAAATCTTTCATTTTCAACCTTTGTGATTTTGGTCACTTAGTTTATTAACTATATGTCACAAATAAATAATGGAGTGTAACCAGAAAGTTTTTGTTTTTGATTACTGGATAAAACTCGCGACTTCGAAGATCTGTCACACTAAATCAGATTAAAATCAATTTGAATTATATTGTTGAGATATATTAAACCCTTATTTTTTAGTGTGGAGAAATTTTTTTATGTCAATTTAATCTTCTTCTTCTAATTAATTTTATTCGAAAAAAATATTTCAATACACTTTCACCGATATGAAGAAAATCTCAGTCAATCAGTTTTTTAGATTCTATATGGGAAAATCGATTTTTATATATTTATTTTATGGAAAGAAGTCAATTTAACTCTATAGTGGCAAAGACAAAATAGAACTGTAACAGCCTAAATTCTCATGTGAAGCTGGAAAGCCTGTATTTTTTTTACATATAATATAGGATCGGTTCATTTTAAGCGAAAGCTCAATGATTCTTGTGGGAAGTTTAATGGTTTCAGGAGAAGACTGATCCATCTCCAGACACCTTACCGATGCGATGAAACGTCTTTATTATTATTATCGATTGAGTTCGAAAGCAAAACTATTTCGTCATTGTAGTATAGAATATTATTTTGTTTAAACCTATTCTACAATAATAATAAGTCATAGTTCGACTAATAAAACTCATGGGTGTCGAAAAGACCAGAAGTGGATGATATAATCTACATAATTTAGATCCATATGGTTTTTTTTATAGAGCTTCATTTGAAAAAAATATTTAAACAAAAAAAGACATCATTGATTTTTTATACAAATGTTTTCCAGCTGATTGTTCATGAGTATAAAATTTTGAAGAAATTGAAGTAAAATGACCAACGAGACCAGATGAAATCGTATTTGATATAGCAGTAAGATCAGAAGTAGACGTTAGACAAATATCATCATCCGAATCGAATGATATAGAATCCATAACTTAATATTTCACTTTATTGTGATAAAACATGAGAATAAGAAATACAAATATAAGTTTTCAATGGTCGTTTGATTTATTTTTTTATTCGACCATGTTCATTCGAATGTAAATCTATAAGAGATGAACTTTGAATATCAGTTGGTACTACCGTTCTCTGCAGTCTATATTTGATTTATGTTTCTCAGGGACTGAAAAGACACTGTTCTTCAGAATAATAACTCACCAGCCAGGTGTATGTAGATACCTCCATACAATACCGTGCAGCGAGCATTTGAGTCTGATCTATTGCAATAAACACAAATTATCTATGCAGAATGTGTGAAATAATAAAAATTTACAATTAGAAATGAAATACACATTTGAACGGTTCATAAAAAATTACACCTGATATATTTCTTTCAATATTTCTCGTTTTATCTTTTCTCGCACTTTCTTTAGTTCTGCAGTTTTTGTTCACTAAATCAAATATCTTTCTGATGAGTAATTTTTTTCAAAAATTCCACATAGGCAATGAGACCAAAAGTAGTCTTAAGATGAACGATTTGATACAGGTATAGCAAATATCAATGTTTACAACACACGATACGAATCTGTTTAGAATTAATCTTTGAACTCTTGTTGACAAGTGATCTTCGCGATGCTGGGAGAGGGGGTAGGCAATGATGACAGGAGATTGATGAATATTTCTTTGCAGACTTGTCTTCTTTTTTGTCTCGACACCAGCATCCGATCTCGACGCCATTGATTTTCTTTCTTCTTGACCGACTAGAAATCAAATTCATATGATGTTGGACTCTGAAGGTTAATGTCAGGCAATTACGTCTGGGTAATAGAGATTGAAGTAAGTGTCGTTCTATGCTAATAAAAGAATCCTAAAGAACAAAAATATTTTTCCTCTTCGAAAGTTCTAAACGGATCTTTCTTCCACCATTCTTCCTCGCATATATATGTGCCAGTTAGTTCTCCCTGTAAATATTTATGTTATTGAGAAGAGAACAATAACAAGACCAATGTAATGTAAATGGCATACTTACACAACCAATATTAGCGAGTACTTTGCTTTATTGTGAAAATTCAAACAATGAAAGAAATTGCAAGAAACCGACTCTGACAAGGTCACTCGTTTTTTTTTTACGTTCTATCCTTCTGATCCGTATGCACGGACATCTTTACATCACATCAAGTCATCCTATGTAGATCATTTATCTTTTTCTACATGTGTATCACCACAACAGCATAGGTTCTTATCTCATTTATGGTTACTTCTACAAGAAAGATTTCAAACGATGACTCAACCCTTTAAATGACGTTCTCCATCATGTTTTAGAGTTCACAACTGCTACATACACATTTTCTTTATTTTTGGGATGTCATCTCGATCACTGACGACACACAATCGATGTAGATTGGAGATAATACTTTCTCTATGCACGTGAGCGGGATCAACAATTAAAACAATATAAACCATCAAATAATGATAATATCAATGTTTGCTTTTTATTGACCGAGATAAATGCGCATGAGCTTCACTACCGATCCATTTACATTAATATTTCCTCTCACTCATTTGTCATAAATACTGGATATCAAGTATTCATTGAAGTCGCTCAAGTGTGACTTAAAATACATAAGTAAATTTTAGGCTGTTTTTAAAGGTTCATCTTTCTTTAGAATAGACAAGCGTAATCAGTGACTGATCTCGCCCACAAAAAAAACAATCGTTCTCAAGCATCTGTCTTAGCTAAAACTGTTTCGGTTACAAAATACCCTAACTAATTGATGAAGAGAGTAATAGACAGGTGAAAAATTGATCGAACAGCTGACTTTTATAGAACTGTGTTCTTGGATCAATGAATAACAGCAGAAATTGAAGCAATAGAAAAAGAAACACTGCGCAATGTTTTTATGGAAATTAGTAAAAGACTGCAGTTTTGTATTTCTGTCGTAGACATCTACGAAAACAATAGTTTATAAATAATAATTTAATTGACGATAATTTGTTTGTTAGCAAAACTAATAAAGCAATAAGATGAAAAAACAAAAAGATTAATTCAATTGTAAAAAATGCATAAAATCTTTTCTATTTTCATCAGTTGACCGTGTTGGTCGACCTAAATTTTTTCTATGACCAGTTTGAATTCGAAGTTCCAGTAAAATTGGACCATCACTATTAATTGCACGAATTTTTTCCATTGCTTCGTTTATTTCAAATTGATTTGTGGCTATCATTACATGTTTATAACCACAATCTTGAGCTATGTGGCAAAATGAAAATTTCTCATGATTACCAGCAACTGTTGGTTGACCACCAACACTATCATGGGCACCATTATTAAATACAATATGTTTAAAATTTGATGGTGTAGCTGCAGCAATATTTGCTAAAATACCCATATGCATTAGAACAGCTCCATCACCATCCAAACAAAATACCTTTAAATATTTATTTAAACTTTTAAATTAAGAAAAATAATCAAAATAGCTTACAGTTCGATTTGGTTTTTGAATAGCAATACCTAATGCAATTGATGATGCATGACCCATTCCACCAATAGTTAAAAAATCTTGTTCATGTCCATCATGACGTTTTGTTCGAAGTTCAAATAATTCTCTACTAAGCATTCCTGTTGTACTAACAACAATATCTTGCTGTTGAAAATGATTCATAACACATTCTAATGCTTGTTCACGTGTTAAAGGTAATCTAAAAATTGAATAAACATTCTATCATTCTTCTATATTTATTGAACAGACTTATATTAAATTTTACCTAATTTCTACATCTACATCTATTTTAGGTAATTTATATGGTAAAAATGTTTCTCGTTTAACAAGTAATGCATAAGGACCTTTTGTTGTTTTCATATAATGTCTAGCTGTTTCAAGTGCTTGACCAGCGCCATCATGATTATTCGGTAATGATTGAAAAGGAATACCGAGTGCAGCTAAAAAAATACATATTGTATTTAAAGTTTTAATAAATAATATTTGCTCATCAAGCATACTAGGTGTTGCAGGTCCCTGAACACGATGTTGTGGTTCATCTGGTTTATCTGGTTCGCCACGCCAACCTATTAGCAACAACATTGGTAAACCATAAATACTTGATGTTGCAAGAGATATAATAGGATTAACAATATTGCCCAAACCACAATTCTGACAAAAAAATTTAAATTTCTTTAAATTGAAAAGTTTATATTTACTTGTAAATAGACTAATGAAGGTTGTCCTGTTACCATATATGAACCACAAGCAAGACCAACAGCAGATCCTTCATTGGCAGTAATAATATGATGGCTAGACGGAACATTTTTTGTTACGTAAGCACAAAAATCTTAATCAATTAAATATAATTCTATTGATTTGAAAATTTATATATGTATACCTTTGAGTAAAGAATCTGGTACACCACAAAAAAAGTTAATACCACAGATTGTTTTTTATTTGTTGATAAAATTCAGCTGGATCAAGAAAATCACGAACTAATTGAGGCATATCTCGTACTTTTTCATTTCGTTTCTGTTGTTCTTTTACTTGCTATTAAATAAATGATGATAATACTATGAATCCATTATAGAACTTTGAATAGGATGGAATAAGACAAAGTTCTTATCCTATGAGATTTCATTCTTAATTTTCTCTGATAATCTGATCTATGATATCACACTTCAGCTAACATCATAAGAATAAAATTTCAACAGAACTTGCTTGATTATCATATACCAACGGTTATTAATTTTCTTTTTGTTGTTCTTCTCTATAGTATCTATTAATACCTCATCGTCTATACATACACATAAAAATCATGACTAATAAACGATACATACTTGTTCAATACTTTCAGATGTTGTTTCAATAACAAGACTATCAGATCGTACTTCGTCTTCAGCTTCTTCTCGACCTTCACGAAAACATTTAGACCATTCTTCAATAGTCTTCAGAGAAGACGTTTCATCACCACAAACAAAACATAGTTCTTCGTGAATATCTTTGGCTGGAATATTAAGTGCAGTACGCACTTTAACGTAGAAGTAAAAATTTTCTTTATTCATCTAAAATAGAGATGAATATTGTCAAGATTTAATCGAACGTTATTTTTTAAGTTTCTAGAGAGACGGAAACCTAAGGATTAAGGAATATGAGTTTCTGTTCAGTTCTCCCACGGTTTCTTGAATACTACAACGAAAAACAAAATATAGTATCTACGATATTTTTTTACTCTTACATTCAAATAGTCATAGCGACATTGACAAATCTTCTGTAAATTAAGAATCCATTTTTCTCAGTTCCTGAACATCTTTATATCAAATCTCGTATTTTGTTCAGTAGTAATACGATTGACAGGTATTTTCGTTTTATTTTTAAATAAAAATAATGCGCAAGAAGTCACCCTACTCTCATCGTTCATTTTTTTACGTATTGAGGTTAATTTAGCAAATCAAAATTCGAAAATAGAACTATATTTTCGATATTATATATATATGTTACATTATTTAAATACGACATATTGCCAATAATGATTATGTTGATGTGCTGATTCTTGACGATTTCTATAATCAATCATCTTGAACTATTATT